ATATATGTGTGTGTGAGCCAAAAATGGATAAATTGAATTGATATCATTATTTTAATAATGTTGATTTGAATTAATGTAGGTCCATCGATGTTAATTAGATTAAAATTATTGATTATCGAAATCATTATTTGAACTGATAATTTGAATTTAGAGTGATCCGTCGACATTTCTTTTTTAAATAAAAAGATAATGGAAACATGACGGGCGTTGCCGTGTATTAAGACCAAGGATGAAGTCAGGAGAAGACGTAGTTTTGTGCACTGGGCTAATGGGACTGACTTGTTGCTTGGAATCCATGATAGGGTCACCCGCATAGCACAATATTACTATTACTATTACTATTACTATTACTATTTTGATTCATATAAATGCTACCAGATATTGATAAGGAAAAGGGGAAGGTGTTTAAGAACACCTAGTAGGCTAAAGATAGAAAATTTTATTCTCGAAAAGTCGATGCATCTAATAAAAAATTGCTTCATACCGTAGACCTTACGATAATGTTGAAATTTTGATAATGAGCATTTTACAAGAAAGATGCTACTTGTACAGTCATTAATGGACTGTAAAATGTACAGCCCTGACTGATTAGCATGTACAGTCATTAATGGACTGTAAAATGTACAGTCCTGACTGATTAGCGTGGAGGCCCACGCTAACCAGTCAGGACTCTACATTCCACGCTAATCAGTCAGGACTGTACATTTTACAGTCCATTAATGACTGTACAAGGGGAAAAATTCATTTTACAATTAGTTTAATCTTGTGTTTTATTTTGACATGTCATTCTAAACTACATCTAATATTTTTTTTCTATTATATGGGTGTGATCACGAACTCATCATTCTAAAAATATTTTCATTTTATTATTTTTTTGTACATTCTTGGTACACATTAATGTTGACATTGTATGAGATGTAAAGATATGTGCCATGAATTATTTTTAAGTGTTGAAATTAAGAATAAAAAAATGTGCCACCTCACGTAATATAAAAAAAAACTGTCAAACTTAATGT